TTTAAATTTGACATTATCGAGATCCCTACCCTATAACTGCCTATTCAATTGCTGAGCATCAGGAGACACACACAATCATGTCTTATAATTGACCCTGGGGTCGGGCCTTACCCCTAGGGATGTAATTATTGGGTCATAACTTTGAAATGATTGAGATCCCACCCTATAACCGTATCATTGCTTGGCATCAAGAGACGAACACAACCATATCATAATTGACTCTGGGGTCCGGCCTTACCCCTAGGGACATAATTCTTGGGTCATATCGTTGAAATGATTGAGATCCCCACCCCATAACCATATATGCCATTGCTGGGCATCAAGAGACAAACAAAAACATGATGTAAGTATTGACTCTTGGATCTGGCCCGGCACCCCTAGGGACATAATTTCCGGGCCTTCACTTTGAAATGGTTGAGATCCCAACCCATAGCCATTCATACCATTGCTGGGCATAAAGATCCAGATGATCGATACAGGCATTCTAGGCCTCTTGTTTTAAATAAAGTAAGTATAATTATTTTCTATATCTGCTCCAGAGACGAGAGTAACACTGCCGACTTGATACAATCAGGTTTATTTCTCACAGTCAGTTATCTTGTGCATTCAAACACATATATTCCAAAAGCATGTACCACTATATATATCAGTTAAATTTTATTTCAGAGAAAATAGAAACACATCCACAGCACATTAGCAAGACTTATTCAGGTGCATAAGTTTAAAAAGAAAGCTCTTTCATTGGATAGTTTCCCAACAGCCAATGAAATACCATAATTATACTACATTTGACAAATCAACTGCCACCTACAGTTCATTGCTGTCAAATGCATTGTATAATATTCCTGGAGTTAAGGTTTACATACATACCTGTTAACTTGTAACATTGTATAATATTCCTGGAATTAAGGTTTACATACATACCTGTTAACTTGTAACACATCATCAATATATTTAATTAAAAGATTAAGGTTTTGGACATCACAAATAATATCACAAATGATGTCTCCAACACAAAAAACAATGCAAGACTGAATCCCAGCCAACACTGACCCATACAAGCTGACCATACTGCCACACTGACCCATACAAGCTGACCATACTGCCACACTGACCCATACAAGCTGACCATACTGCCACACTGACCCATACAAGCTGACCATACTGCCACACTGACCCATACAAGCTGACCATACTGCCACACTGACCCATACAAGCTGACCATACTGCCACACTGACCCATACAAGCTGACCATACTGCCACACTGACCCATACAAGCTGACCATACTGCCACACTGACCCATACAAGCTGACCATACTGCCACACTGACCCATACAAGCTGACCATACTGCCACACTGACCCATACAAGCTGACCATACTGCCACACTGACCCATACAAGCTGACCATACTGCCACACTGACCCATACAAGCTGACCGTACTGCCACACAAACACCACACTGACCCATGTCCATTGCTTTTACTTTCACGACCCTCTCACCATTGAAGCGACAAAGTGTATTTACAGTTGACTAGGTTGTTACAGACCTCTACGCTACTTGTTGATTGAATATCCTATTTACACTGACATAATTTGGAGTCTCCTTGGAGCTTGGAGAGGGTATGATCACTTTTTTCTATAAAGTTACATCCTTGCCTGGAACATGATCAATATGTAGTTAAACATAGTTTAACTTTTGAAGAAAACGTCTCCAAAAATCACATTGAAAGTAAAACACATAAGACTAACATAAGACTACATATGAAATTAATTAACATCACAATCATTGTTGCAGAAGTTTAATAGGCCCAAGTAACTTTCTGTAGAGTTTTACAGATTACTCATTACTGCCTAGTCAATATTTTAATGAAAAGTATAAATGGAAATCTATTTCATGAGAATAATATTTAAACAGAATATTTGATAATTTTACTATAAGTAGACAAATACTTTTGATAAAAGAAGACTTTGTACCGTGAAAGCTACACTGTGATATATATATTGAGCTGTTCCAATACCGACCTTTCTATTAAATCTAGGTGATAAAGGCCAACTAGAGGCTACATGTGTCTACTGAAAAAATACCAGATACCAATTATACCAAAATATTATCAATTATGCTCTTAAACATCTGGTCAGAAATTCAATATTCAATACTTATTTGATATCGATTCAGTACAATAACCGACATCCATTCAGTACAATAACGGACATCCATCGAGTACAATCACGGACATCCATTCAGTACAATAACGGACATACATTCAGTACAATAACGGACATCCATTAAGTACAATAACTGACATCCATTCAGTACAATAACAGGCATTCATTCAGTACAATAACGGACATCCATTCAGTACAATAATTGACATCCATTCAGTACAATAACAGACATCCATTCAGTACAATAACGGACATCCATTCAGTACAATAACAGACATCCATTCTCTACAATAACGGACATCCATTCAGTACAATAACGGACATCCATTCAGTACAATAGCGGACATCCATTCAGTACAATAACAGACATCCATTCAGTACAATAACGGACATCGTTTCAGTACAATAACTGACATCCATTCAGTACAATAACAGACATCCATTCAGTACAATAACGGACATCCATTCAGTACAATAACGGACATCCATTCAGTACAATAACAGACATCCATTCAGTACAATAACTGACATCTGTTCAGTACAATAACGGACATCATGTGCACTGACACAATCAAATTTATGATGCTAACTGATCAGCACATATTGCCCTAAGTTGGTGTTTCAGTTCTGTATTTACAGCATGAAAATGTCTGCAAAATTTAACATCAGTACAAACAACCATTTAATCAAATTCATTTTGTGAAACACAATCATACAAAATTTATTCATGACAATGTCAGAAAGTCTTCTGCGTGCAATAGGATGATAAAATCAGTATTTATAATAACACAATAGATATAATTACGTAACTTTATTCCAGCTGTTCAGTGTATTCTGCTGTATGTTGTAGGTTATAATATAAACATACAACTGGTATACCATACTAAATACAAATATTAGCCCTCATTCAGGAATGCAGAAAAATCATACAAAATAACAGTATTTGATTTATAAACTTTATTTTGACCCCTTAATTAAAGTTTTTACACATATTTCCAGTGAAACCAGATTTGATAGGACATTCTGCAAAATCATACCTATTGGTATGCTTCAAAAAGACCAATGTCTTTGTGTTTATAATACTGTATTTACTGACACTGCATCTTCGCTAGCCAAGGGTTGATCCGGTACGATGTACCTAGGTTCATCGTACCGGATCAACCGTTGGCTAGCGAAGATGCTGACACTGGGATATGTTTGTGTTTGTTAATTTATATAAGTCAGGTAACTTTACTGTAAATGTAGTAACAACTATATCAAATCATGCCTGCAAGACAGCATAATGAAAACACATAAAATAAAAGTGACCAGTTACATGTTAGATAAATAATACAGTAGATTCCACTTAATTAGCTCAATAATACAGATATACACAGAATTTTGTTGTTTGCATAAAGCACAGTGCATCAAACACAGACGGTTTTTGTATTTGTGAAGAATTCTTTTAGTGGGGTAGAGCAACAGCCATAATTTCCACACACAGATATCGTGACACCAAATATTGCAGAAGTACTTTCGATATTTTTTTAATGATTTCATAAAAATATCAAAGTCAGTTCCCAAAGTTATCATAATTGAACCAAAACATGAACATTACAACATACTCATAGCAAATGTACAGATATCAACAATGAATGTAATTTTCTAATTATTTCATGACCTGCTACCAATTTTATAAGGCAAGTAAGTTTACGTAACAATACACAGTTGAACCAACATTTAAATGTGTGAACAGTTATGTTGGTTTATGATAGATGCAGATAACAAAAGTTTGCAGTGTGGATGTGTTGTTGAACATTGGCATGGTCACAAAGCACTCTTGAGAGATTTGGCTTGGTTTGTTTGTGTTTTACGTCCTATTATACACAACTATGGTCATTTAAGGACGTGCCAGTTTTAGTGGTGGAGGGAAGCTGGAGTTCCTGGTGAAAAAACACTGACCTCGAGTACCATGGTGACTGCCCTGTGTAGGTCTCGAACCTGCGACCCAGTGGTGGAGGGATAGTGGTAGCAGAATGTCAGACGCCTTAACCACTTGGCCACCGCGGCCCCTTAACTCTGTCTTGAGAGAAATGATCTATTTAACAAGAGGTCAATTGAACCTGTACCCCTCACCTGGTTTTAAATTTAAGTCATTACAACTGAATGCATTAGTACATCTTTATATGAAATTTCCTCAAATCCAGACAAGATCTATGTTCTAACCCAACTGGGACCACAATATCTGACTTTCAACTAATCAGGGGCCTCCATTGAGTTGCCATGTTAACAGATTTTGAAATAAGTAATATGTCATATTACAGGGTGTAATTAGACAATACTTTAATTTCATTCAACTATAAGCTTTTATAAACCTAGAAACCAATTTTTAACAAATTATAAAAACTACACTATAGAATAGGATAATCTAGCTGTACCATTTCTTAGAACCGCAGGGGTCAAATCAACTTCATTCAATTAAGAAATATTTGCAGGCAATTAGGGGATATTAGCGTCTTAAAGCAAAAAATTAGATAATTTTCCTCTTTGGGGCCCAGTCTTCCTAGCCCCAGGGGTCGAACCAGTCTCATTTATTAAGGAAATGATTGCCCTCCCCCAATGAAGTTTCAGAGCAAATTTGGTTGAAATCCTCTCCAGCGTTTAGGAGGAGATGCGTTTTAGAGTAAATATAGCTAAGTTCCTCTTCAGGGCCCCGCCCCTTTGGCCTCAGAGGTCGAACCAACCTCATTTATTTAAGAAATGATTGCCCTTCCCTAGTGATGCTTCAGACTTAATTTGGTTGAAATCCTCTCTGGCGTTAAGCAGGAGATGCGTTTTGAAGCAAATTTAGCTAAGTTCCTCTTCAGGGCCCAGCCCCCCTGGCCTCAGGGGTCGAACCAACCTAATTTATTTAAGAAATGATTGCCATCCCCTTGTGATGATTCAGACTAAATAAATTTGGTTGAAATCCTCTCTGGCGTTTAGGAGGAGATAGGTTTTAAAGAAAAAGTTGACGACGGATGACGGCAGGTGAGCTAAAAATACTATTTTTGGGCTAATAGTTTCATCTTTGAAACTCCCAGGGCATGACCAGACCTAAACAAAACATTAATCTATGGATAATACCACTGTGTAACTAACGTCACAGCTCAACATTGTATAGCATGGACACCAGCTGGAAGTTGTACATATATTATGTACATGGTTTCAAACTCACGTCAGGATGCAGAGAGACAGATACTCGAGTTTGAAAACCAATGCACTTTCCAACAGGCACACAAGGCATTATATCGACTGCATAATTGATAAGTTAAGTTTCCTTGCACTCCACATTCATCTGCTGTAATAAACAAACAGGATGTCACAGTCCTATTTTACTCCACATTCATCTGCTGTAATAAACGAACAGGATGACACAGTCCTATTTCACTCCAAATTCATCTGCTGTAATAAATGAACAGGATGACACAGTCCTATTTCATTAAATGTGCACATTTTAAGTACAAGTGTCACTAGAATGGCAGACTTACACCCCTACCTGCGCCAAGAACTGTAGGAATAGCTTTTTTGCAATAAACAAAAGGGCACAACTCCACATATAGGTAAATCAAACATATATATATATATTATTAACATCTTCTCAATGTAAGTGTAACATGTACTAAGTATTATTTATATTTGTGCTGTACTTTAAGAGTATTGTGAACAACGTTTTTAATCAAAGGGGCACAAACTCCCTGGTAATTAGTTAACACTGTTATATTTGAAAGACAGCACAAGTCATATTTTTGTTACTTGTTATAAAAAGAGGAATCTACTGAATATGATGTCTACTACCAGGTTTAAGCAAGGTGTGGTTTACCTGTAAGAGTCATTCGTCTGAACGACTGCAGATGTTTTTTTATGAAACACTATTCACAAAATATAATCATGCCTGTATCTATTGGGTATAATTAGTTTTGAGGGACAATGACCCTGTCTAGCCTTCATCTATTGGGTATTAGTTTTGAGGGACACCGACTCCTCTGTCTATGACCTCTACACATCTACAGGAGGAAATCTTCACTATAATCCATCATGGGAACTTTCTGTGATCGAGGTCATAAATGCGTCAAAATCTTTCATGTCTGTCTCAAAGATTACTAGCTGGCTAGAGATCATCTCAAGCGTGTCCACAACATTCTTCTCCTCACTAAAAGACTCCAGCATCGGTGCACCCTGACAGTCACGGTAGAACTTTCCCAGATCTGTGTTTGGATCAGCTCCAGCAAAGGGAGTCTTCTGTTAATTAAATAACAGACAAACAGTTCATCAAAAAATTCTCAAATATTCAGCAATAAACAAATTAAATAATATAGTAAATCTATTGATCAGACAGAGCTAAATGACAGATAACTGACACAAACAATAATAATTTTGTGAACAAAAATATAATTATGTCTCCTCTTATTAGCTAATATTCCTTCCTCATAGCTTCTTTTGCAAAATAAGACATGCACTGATAATAAATACTATCATAAAGTTATGATGTGGAAGGTCACAATACCTTAAAAGTTAAAACTGAAAAGTTTGCACTTATTTGACCATTGACCTAAAGATTTAGATCACAGCAACAAACTGACAGTGCACTGCACATGGTCTGTGGGTGATGCAGTTATACTTTAAGAGTTATTAAGATATCTTAAATGGTTTGAAAGTTACTGACCAGACCTAATGTTCACTTAATTTGACCTTTGACCTTGATGTCCACTTAATTTGATCTTTGACCTTGAGGTCAAGGTCAGAATGACCTAATGGCAGTACATTTAAAATTGTCTGTGGGTGATGCAAATAGAAAGCAAGTTTCTTCATTACTTTTTTAACAGTTTAAAAGTTACAGCCAGGACAAAACGTTCCTAAAATAATTGCATTATTTTACCTTTGACCTTGAGGTAACAGTTGCATAATGACAGTGGAGTGTACATCCTCTGTTGGTGATGCAGGTATACTGCAAGTTTAATCCTGATACATTTAATAGTTTAAAAGTTATGGTCTGGACATTAGCAGAATGGATTTGGTTAAAGAAACTCAATAAGTTATATGTTATTATTGGTGGTTCTCTGATTAATCAACTTTGTCGACTACTGGTCAGTTAGGCTAACTCCCTGATTAATCAGCTACATAATTCAGGATACATTTTAGTGAGAATAACTGTGAGTAGATATAAAGTTTTCAGCAGAGTGATTCCAGATATCAAGTCTCCCTGCTTGATATAAACAATGGTTACACAGATTCCAGATATCAAGTCTATCTCCCTGCTTGATACAAACAAGGGTAACACAGACTCCAGATATCAAGTCTATCTCCCTGCTTGAATTGATACGTATACAAACAAGGGTAACACAGATTCAAGATATCAAGTCTATCTCCCTGCTTGGTACAAACAAGGGTTACACAGATTCCAGATACCAAGTCTATCTCCCTGCTTGATACAAACAAGGGTAACACAGATTCCAGATATCAAGTCTATCTCGCTCCCTGCTTGATACAAACAAGGGTTACACAAATTCCAGATAGCAAGTCTATCTCCCTGCTTGATATAAACAAGGGTTACACAGATTCCAGATATCAAGTCTATCTCCCTGCTTGGTACAAACAAGGGTAACACAGACTACCAGCACAACTGCTGTTTTGGCATTGTCACTGATGTACTATTACTTGGAAGTCAACTTGTGGCTGCATAGAACTAGAAATGACTGATTCTGTGTTTGAAGGGAGGTAATTCTCCTTTTAAAAAGATTAGTAATTGTTGTTTAGAGTAATTCCAATGATTGATAATATTAGTTTAACCTATGATTACAAAGGATAACTAATTTCTTACCAGTTCCACCATGACAAAATCGTCGGGGGCAGAGGTCTGACTACTGCTGCTGTCTTTAGACATACTCCCATTTAACCCATCTATCTGATCAGCACTAGAGGAACTCTTGAGTGTCGTGGATTTGCTGTCCTCACTTAGGTCCTCAATGTCAAACTTGGCCAGTGGTGCGGGCTGGAGGAGGTTAAGGAATGGCACCTCATCAACATCACGCTTGTACTCCTTTGTCTTTGCTTGAGCAAATGCTCCAACTTTGTGGAAGTTTGAAAAACTTGCTTGTTTCTCGGGAGCACTGAGTAAAAGAAAATCAGAGACCGATATTTATTTGCATTGACATTGTGTTGTGCTGTTATCCTCTCTAATGAGGAAATATATTATTACTAATACATTCAATTTGATAACAATTAACATTTCAAATATGAATTTACCTATTTTAAACGAGTCAAACAACTTGCAATCTAAAATTGGAAATATGCTTCCATCCCTATTTAATCAATAATTGATGATCAAAAAAATATAGACATAGAACTAATATCTTCAAGAACATGGAACCATATTGTTAACAACTCTATAATGGAACCATATAGTTA